ATGCCTAATTAAATTTTTAAAAATATATTTATATATAAAATTTGGTGCTAAACAATTTTATTTAATAGTCAAATTACAAGTATTTAAACAAAAATTTTTTTTTATATATAGTTAAACTCCTCTATAGTCACATCTTTGGGATACAAAAAACTATGATTATAAAGAAATGTAACTAATATAAAGGTATTTTCTATATAGTTATAAATAATTGATCAAAGTAAATTTATAATTATACTAATTTTGTAACTATAGAGGAGGTGACTATAGAGGGTTGACTGTATAAATTTTACTATAAACCTGAAAGTGAAGCATGCTTATTTTCTTACTAAGTAAATTACTCTTAAGCTTCTAACAAAAGTTTTAAAGTTCATTAAGAGGCATCTAATAGTAGTAAAAACATTAAAATTAGCTTGGTAGTTCTTAAAAAATCTTTAAAATGTTTTACTGATATAAAATTTTTTTTAAAAAAATTGGATTTTTTTAAAGAAATTTAATATGTTAATAAAAAGTTTTTTAAAGATTTTTTAAGAACTACCAAGCTAATTTTAATATTTTTACTACTATTAAATGCTTTTTGATGAGTCTACAACTTTTGTTAGAAACCCAAAAGTTAAGAAAAAAAGTTTTGATAGGCACACTCCACTTTCGGGCTTATAATAAAATTTATATATAAAAAAAATTTTTTTGTTTAGATGATTCATAATTTGTCTATTAAATTATCTACATATGGTTTTCTTAATAAAATTTTGAGATATCCATTTTTTTAATTTTTTCTTATATACTGGATATATACCCACTGAGTACAAATAGAAATCCTCTAATAAATTTACAAAAAATTAATAAATAATTTTTGATTAAAAATATTGCTATTTATCACCAGTGGCAATATCACCAGGGATACTATATCTCAAAAACCTACTAGCTAACACATGTCGAAGACACTAAGTAAAAATGTTCAGGACCCCAAAAACCTAACCCTAACAAAGATTTGATTTGATAAAAGAAATAGGAGGTGGTGGTATTGCCACCGGCGATAAATGCTAAAATTCTTTGATTAAAAGTTTTTTTAAAAATTTTAAATTTTAAATTATTGTAATTTAGAATCTACTGTAATTTCAAATAAACATAGGGTTATAAAAGAATTTAAATTTAGCTTACAATAAAAAAATTAAATAAATTCTATTGAGTATTGTTTTAGAATTTAAATCGCTTTAAGATTTATTCAAAATGCAGAAAATCATTAATTAAATATTAAAAACATTTTATCAAGTTTTTACATTCATGGTTACTAGGATGACAATTACTACGACAAATTTTCTTTTTTACATTTACAATGATTTTTATCACATGTATTTTTGCAATTGTATTTAACATATCTATTTGTGAAGGAAGGCTATATGATAGATGTTTGAAACCTTATTGGCTTGAAGGAATACTATCCAACTCTAAAAACCTGTCAGAAAAGTTTATTAGCATGAATATGCAATTTTAAGAATGCCAAATTACGTCCAAGTCTGTATGTTATTTTTCAAGACTTTGAAAATCTTGCAGTGGAGTGTTTTCGATCGCTGTGGGTTCCAATGATGTCGGGAATCTTGATATTCACTAAATCTCCAATTGTATACTCGTCGTAAAATTTATTATGTTTGTTGTGATTTCGAGAAACTTCGTACAGTAGCAACCCATCATCAGATAAAAAAAAAAAGTAAAAAACTTATAAAAAAATAAATAAATACTGTACATAATAAAATTTGTATTTAAATATTTTGGATATTTTGGCAATTTATTATAACGATAAGATGTACCGTATTATCGCGCAGGGGTGAAATTAAGAATTTCGGCCTAAATTAAGCTTAATTCGGGCCATTATTCTAAATAACATCCATGCCCGACAATCGTTGTCAATCGATTACACATTTTACCTAAATATATAGATTCTAAATTTAAAATAATTCCATTCCAACGTACAACGTATATACTGTAAATGAAATTTCTATAGATAAATAGCAAACCGATACTTAAAATACGGAATTATCGTTATATATGGGGACCCCACAGCAAAACAAAGCAGTGGGCAGTTTTAAAACTTGATCTTTAAATAAGTATATCTCATGATCTAAAAATTAAATGTCTATTATTAGATTCATCTTACTGAAATGAGTCTAATGATATAAAATTTATTTAATTTTAATTACTAAATCATAAGATATACTTATTAGACTTTTTTAAAATTTTTAGTCAAACAAAATTAAATTCAACTTATTAATGAAGTTCTTTAAATGCATCTTCAAATGCAAAATTTAAATTTTTTTTTCTCCACGTATTAAGATTTCTATGCTCCAGCAAATTGCACTTAGAGTTAAATCGACGTAGTTAAGAAGTGTGATCTGGAGTGGTTTTTGATATGAGTGTCGCCAAAGGAAAAGCTGACTTCAATTTATTATTGACCGGAATCAATAACTGTCCTAGCCAGTGTTGGGCTCTGGACCAAAAGTCCGCTCTACTGGACTTATACCAACCTAAAAATTTCACTGGCCAATCAGATTTCAAAGATCAGGTGCGACGCAGAAGAAATGCAAAAAAACCAAAACAAACCAAAAATAATCGCCCATAACTCAACATTTTATCTATGAAACCACCTACTGCGCACTAACAAAAAGTTTCCTTGCGAAATTTTGGTATTTATAAAGTTCTTTTTGACCCAAATTAATAGTAAAACCTAACCCTAATCTAACAGCGAAATTATTTAGCGAAATTTTTTAGGTTAGTAACGTTAGATCAGTTGGAATATCAACCCCGCAAGATCTGTGATACGTAATAAATCAAGCTTTTAGTCGTTTCGATTGGTTCAATTATAAGAAAATTCTTTGCACACGTGCTTGATAAATTACTGATTCAAATTTTCAGGAATTGAGTCCGATTAAAAGCCCGAAGACTGGTTTTCCCTTGGCGTCACCCATATTTACTTTGACAGAGCATATACTCCATTAACAGCCTAATTCTGATTTATTAAAAATTAGTGGAACAAGGTTAATTCACGTACGAATCACAATATTATTACAAATATTATTGATTTGTTTTAATTGAAAATTTTTTTTTTTTTTTAAACTTAAAAGCATATGATAATAAAAGATGAAGCATTCAAAATTTCTTACAATTCATTTCGCGCATATCATAAAAGTATGAATATGTGCGTGACATCATAATAAATTTTTTTTTCGCGCGTGATATCTACTTTAATAAAAATTTTTTGTGCATAATTAGAAACCTGTGCATGATCAAAACTTTTCTGCAATCATGCGCGCGGATTTTAACTCGAGAATTTATAAGGGTTAGAAGCTTATATAGTTTCTATATTAAGATTTGTAAAACATAGGATTTTTTTGTAACTCGTCCACTAAATTTGTTCATCTTCTGAGACAGCCGCTTAAATAGTTTCAGCGCATGCATATTTTTTTTTTTTTTTTTTTTTTGTACCAAATCAATTATGACAATGTGCTACATATATGATACAGGGAGTAAATCTACTCTGATAAATATAAATCAAATGAACAAAAGAACAAGATTACGAATCTATATAATTGAAAAAAAAAACCAAAATGAAAATGTAAAAATTAATATCCACATATCTATAAAAAATTATAACAAGTTCACATCACTTAATGCAACAATTAATATTGTCTGGACTTCTTCAAATTTAATTTATTATAATAATATTTCATCGTTGTTTGTATCCTCTAAAGTTTGAGAAATTCTTTTTCCTTCTACAATATTTAATGAAAATATCACGGAGCTATCGGTGTCAATATCATTCGTTGAGACCAAAATCCCACGTGAGTCAGAAAATAGGTTTCGCACATTATTTCCCTCAATAACTTGCTCCAAAAGACCAGTTTCAATATGGCGTATTTCTATGAAGGAGGGTTCGAAAGCAAAGATGTAAGGATAACGATAAGCTGCAGAAAATTAATATCAAAATTAATAATCAATTACAGATGTTAAATATGCTTAAATAGTGAACTCTATAGTTGAAGGCAGAATTACTATATTACGGCTTTACGACATTTCAATTTATAGTAGAACTAATTATGGTATGCATTTGGTGCAATTTGTATTGCAGCAATACATTTTCGCAATGCAAATGTGACAATATATTGTAGCGAACGCAGAATTTCGTAAATTAATTCCGCCATCAATTACAGTAAAATAATAAATACCAAAAGAAGTCGGTGTTCCCTCCCACGTTATTAAAAAGTCAGGTCTTGACCGCCATCCTTCTTTAGTGATAAAGAAAGCGAATTCTATACATTATAAAAAGAAAAATAAGTAATTATTTAAGTTTTAATCTAAGGCTTAATTAAGACCTACCATTATAACATAATAAGAAATCTTCATTTATAACGCGATAAACGGCAATAGGTTTTGTATTTTCTTTTTTACGCACAAAATCATGTGAAGTATCATTTGGGTGTAATAGGCCATGTGTATTAAGAGACTCCATGTCAAGAATTTCAAAACCTTTTGAATAACATCCTACGCACAAAGTCTTTTTAAGAAAGTTTACTGATGCTAACTCAATGGGTATATAAATTTCCTGAAGTGAAACAAATTTGCATGCGAATGTGTTATTGTATAGACCAAATAAGTCAAGGATGTTAATCAAAGATGCTAATGCTAACAACACTACCTTATATGTTTTTAACGTTTCACAAGTTCCACGCAAGAACCCTTTAAAAGTTGATTCTTTATTTTTACTTTTAACAGTTTGTTCAAAAAGCTCTAGTGTTTTTATGGTCGAATGAAGAGGACTATTTCTTACAATTGTTACCAAAGCTTTTCCAAGACATATACCTGACTTGAAAAAACTGGCGTTTGTGATGATTTTTTTTAAACGCTTGCTAGCCATGTTGATACCATTAGAACCAAATGCATCAATTGGACATGAATAAAGAACTTTATCTGTAAAATAATAACAATATGATAAATAAAGGTTCTATCATTTAAATAGAATAAACTTTATACTCACCAGCTAATACTAATAATAACTGATGTTCCTCTAATATTTCAATTTGAGAAACCTTTTCTACTTGTAACACTAAAGCTGGATTTTGTCTTTGACCAATTTCGATCACATATACACCAGAGTCCGTTCCAAATATTAGATTTCGATAATTATCTGATAAAATGAGCGAAATCATGATTTTTTTAAATCATTAGAATGAATGAATGAATAAATAAAGGGATGAATAGATGGATGAATGAATGAATAAATGAATAAATGAATCAATGAATCAATGAACCAATGAACCAATGAGTGAATAAATGAACGAATAAATGAACGAATGAATGAACCAATGAAAATAAATGAGCAAAAAATAGCTTTACCATAAAAAGCAGCACAGTTAATCTTGTTTGCTCCGGAAAATTGACCTTTTTCTATCAAAATAGTTTTCTCAAACGATTTGTTTTTATCGATGACCTCTTTTTGTTCTGATATAAGATCGATCCACCTTTTACGACTTACCAACGTCAATGCGTATAAATTTTCTGTAAAACCTTTTTTTCCAAGACAACTAAAAGTTAACGGATATCTATGATTAATACTTCCACGGTTAGTTGTCGGTGACTTTCCCGGCAAGATTGACTGTGTTCGCTTCTGGCTACTTTCAGAATGACTCTCTTCTGTAGAAACTTTCAATAATTCAATAGGAATTGGCTATAAAAGATGTAAAAATATTGTTTTGTTAAAAGGTTAAAAAATGCATAAGTTCCAAAAATTTAAAATTTTTTTTTAACTAATTAAAAGATTTACCCTACGATAAATTTTATATTGTTCAACTTTATTTACGATTTTAACTTTCACCATTAATAAAGCATGGTCAAATAGAAATACTTGTAGGTCGGATGATTCATTAGATCTTTTTAAGGAGCCCTTGAATATAAGTTGACGTCCTTCTTCCGTTAATTTCAAATCCTATAAAATTATTTATCAATTTGTCCAACTTTAGAATATATAATTAAAGAATGGAAACGTGAGCAAACTATTTAAAGGATTACATACGAAATTTTCACTTCCATTAGAAATTAATTGATCATTTAATTGTTGCAGGTTGAATCGATTTTCTGATTTTCCAGACTCCGTGTTAACATTCGATAAACATTCCTTAATAAGACTTATTACCTTTGGCAAGCTTGTCCTATCTGAATGACCTTGGGGAGTTTGTTTGAGAATAGCTTCAAGAAGTAGTGGATATCTACCAAGACGGGTTGTAGGCTTTGTTAGATATCCATTAAGTTCTAATTTTCTCGATTCTGGAAGGCGTTCAGTATCCTGAAATAAATATTTGTGTTAAAGATTTTATGTTTATAAGGGGAGCAATTTTTTATTATTACCTCAACGAATTTTGCAAATGCAGGATTAGTGTTTTTTTCATTTTCAAAATAATATTTCCCCCATAATTGATGTGCACCATATTCTATAAAAGGATTAAATTTTGGAACATGTTCTAATAGTATATCACCAATTTGTCCAACAATTGCATATGAATTTTGCCGTTTTTGGAGCGCCTCGTCAAGTTTAGAATTGATGGAATAAATTTCCATAATATTATGAAAAACGTCAACTACAAATTTCTTACGCCGAAATTCAGGAATTATATTTTGAGATAAGAGAGGCTTCATCCAACACTAAAGACCATCATACATAGATACATAGAATTTAACATAATATAAAATATAAAATCTAAACACTGAATAGAACATACATCTCTTAAATACACTATATCATGAACAAAATCTTTTTCAGTATAAATTAATTCGTTTATAGCTTCTTGACGCTTCTTTTCAGCCTCAGAAACGGAATTAGCGATTTCAGGAGGAACGGTATGGATCCACAATTTTTGATCCTTTATATATATATATATATATATATATATATGTATATATATATATGTATATTTTTATTTTATTTATTTATTCATTCATTTATTTAAACAGGTTAATATATATATTTTTTTGAAAAAAAGTTAATAACAAAATATAGACAGTCCTGAAGAACATAAATACCTTTCTTCTATCAGCTATAGATCCACGACTAGCTGAGCGACTAAGGTCTGGATTTGGTTTCATATGTTTTCTTGCATGCTGTATTCATATTATTAAATTTTCAAAATCACACAAGCCATCAAATTTACAATTTGACCAAGTGAATATTATCTGTTATACAAATACATACCTGTTCCAGCCTTCTAGGACAGACAATGCTGTAGCATAAATTATCCCTTGTACATGTAGGAGAGTAACAGTCGGTTAATAGTGTAAACACTCCAGTTGGTAGGTCAGTTTCTTCAGAGTCTTCTTTCTCATTTTTTTTAAAGCTATAATTATCGGATGATGATAAAATTGAAGGCATTTTTCTAAATTGATATAATTCATTCTGTGAATCACGAAGTCGATGATCGTATGTTACATCATGAAAAAATTTTTGAGCGTCTAAAGCACGACCGAGTAATAAAGCTAAATTCCTATCAGTAGTCTTGATAATAAAGGCGATTTTATCCTTTGAAATAGAAATTAGAGTAATAAGCTTAGAACTGTAAAGACACCATTGAAACACAAGCTTAAAAAATTTAACAAGCTTGATTCAATATAATTATAAATCAAATAATACCACAGCTTCTCTTCCATCAAAACAATCTTTATATTCAAGATTTTCTTTCATCCTATTTGAAAGAGTAATACGGGCTCGAAATGATTCTGAAACTCTTGATAGCAGAGCAGGATTAACAACAGAAAATTGCTGTTTTACTACTTTTGAAGGCGACGAAGGAGTACTTGATCTTTCCGACCCAGAGGATAATGTTGATGGATCAATGGATGAGCGATGATTACGATAATTTTTTGATTTAGAACCCTCCCGAAAGTCTTCTGAATCCGAATAAAAATGAATTGAAGTAGTACCTATTTAAAATTTATAATATTTATTAATACACATATATAAGAACTTAAAATATATCATAAAGATCTTAAAGTATATCATAATGAATATGACTAACAACAAAAAATCATAATTTTGTAGATTTTTTTAAAAAAAATGTACAAAAGAAAATAAAGAAAACATACTATTTGGTGTCATTTGTCTTTTAGTGGTAGGAATTTTACGATGAACGTATGAAGACTGCTGAGGTTGTTGATATGAATGTGGATCTTGATATAAGAACTCTGTTTGATAAATTGGAACAGTTTGTCTATATGCAGTATCAGGTTGAGATTTAGGCCCTTGGACGTAAGGCAACCTTGGACTCTGATCGAGAGAATTAACCCTACTTAAACCATTCCTTTGACCAGACGTTACGGGATTCGGCACAGCGGAACTTCGCTCTAACGGATATTGCGATTGACAACCATTTCCGAGTGGTTTCACGCTCTCTTCGTCTGAGGTCCTTGCCCTTCTAGGCTTCGTTGTAGGAGGTGCCCTATATGCTGCATAACTCTCAAAGACTGCTGTCGCCCCTCTATACGAGCCTTCTTGGCGACCATTCTTTTTAGGTTCATATGAAACCATGTTCGATAGTGTAGTTGTCAGTTACCATGTGTTTACACAGGTTTCAAATCATGTGTATCTCATGTGCTTGTACAAAATTTTATTGGTTTTCCTCTAAAAAACGGTTACTACGGTATGTCATTTTCTCGAAAGGTAATACTTTAATAGTGGCTAACTTTGTCGGGATTATGTCCCTTCGAACAAAATTTTTGGAAATTTGAGTTACATTGCTAAGTCTCATGAGCTTGTCATGATCTTTTCTATATTTTTTTTTTATTAAACTCATGAGCTTGTTATCTTGGTCTTTTCTATCGCTAAATCTTTTTTTATTTTATTATCCAAAGTGATTCTAACGATTATGCAATCTGTATGAATGATGCTTACTTATCTACAAGTAATCCTCACAGACACAATCAGTAGCTCTTTAATTAATGACCTAAAATCGCGATCATTCGTGGAATCTGTAATCGCATTGAAGAAATTTGGTAGCCACTTATCGTTGCTATCGTTGCGAGACGCATTGATCACATCACACGAAATTGACCATTGACCAGCACTTATTTATGTACGTAACACATTGTAAATGCAATAAATCCTGCGGATGTTGACTAGTCACGAATCGATTTGAGATCTGCGGCAAATATTGGAGAATTGTTGGTTACTTGAAGATTACTGTAACATGGAAAAAGTATCCTAATTCTCGGGAATTCATAGTGAAACCAATGGAATGGGTTTTCATTATTTGTTTGAATTTGTGTTACGTATCATCACCGGTAAGACAATTTATCACGCCCATTGTCTTTGTCACGTGATGATTCTGTAAATATCTATTTGGAAATTTTGAGTCAATTTTAATCGCGAAAGACTGGATTTGTTGTGAGCAAGATATTCCGAAATCATTATTTTATATTTAAAAAAAAATAGTACCAATAAGGTTAATTTTAAATTATTACATAATTACTAATGGATACTTCATGTCATAAAGAATTAGTGTTTGATGATCGATGAACCCTTATTCACGTTATATGACGATGATTTGAAGTAACCATGAATGTTTAGATTTGGAATTGGTCGTAAATATCTCTTAAACAAAAAACTCGGCACCTCTTATGTTAAGACGTATATTTTTATTTTCATGACCACAGAAGAAACAAAAAAGGAAGTAAAAAGCCTTTGCATTTTAATTAATGAATTTATAAAAAAAAAAAAAAATTTATATTACAA